ATTGTTATCTCTTTATTTCTGGCATGAGATTTCCCATTTTGGTTTGGCTTAACTATGTAAGGTATACATATTTTAAATGTAGCTTATTTTATCCAGAATTTCTCTATATTTGGAGTAGAAAGTGTTTTTTCCCCTACATTTGCTTATAGTGGCATACTAATCAGATTTTTTCATCAAAAAATTTTAATACTGCCAATTTCTTATTACTGTGTTCTAATTTTTGCTTTATTTTTAGATGACTCTGTAATTGTGCAAGTAATTTCTCAGGAGGAATATGTGAATTATAGTTTTATAAACTGTTAATACCTGAGAATTTCTTCTGTTGTCTTCATATATGTATGACAACTTCTCTGTATATGGAATTCATGAGTCAAACCTACTTTCAGAAAATCTTTTAGATCTAGCACTGTTTTCTTCTAAAAATTATTATTTGCAAAAGAAAAGTATTGAAATCAGCCTGGTTTTTAAAAATCCTTTTTAGGTTACCTGTTTTGTTCATTTTTCTTCCCTGACTGCTTTAACATTTTTATCTATAATTCTAAATTTGTGAGCAGATATATCTATTCATTTTGTTTTGAACAAGGATGATTCTCTAATTTTATTTAACCTCAACTATCATACTACGATTTCTTTTTCAAGTATCCACAATTTTATAGTTTAGATGGTAGTTCTCTATCCTCTGAATCTATTATTTCCTGTTATTTGACTACTAGTCCTCCACAATTTGGGATAAGTTTTTATACTTTTATCAGTGACTCCTTCTTATATATTATTAGTTTTGTGCTTTAATGCTCTGCAAATTTAAATTTTGTTGCCTTTATTTCTACATTTCTGTAATTTTTTGTCTTCCTTTTTATCTCAGCTTGTTGTATTTTTATCTTACTCTTATGTTCTTCATTTTGCTTTTTTAATGGACAGATTTTTTATTATATCTTCTTGAGACATCAAGCAATTGATTAATGAGTTTGTTTCTTGCCATCCAGTAGTAAATTATTATATAGGGATGTGGTCCCTTTTCTCTATAGTCTGTTAGATTATATTCTGTTTTTTCATCTGTTAATCCTATTTTTCATAGGGTTCATGTTATCTCTGAGATCTGTTCAGATGGTCAGTTTACCAACAGATACTATATATATGTATATATATATAAATTATTCTGTCTTGTTCTTGTTTTCTTTGATTTTTGAAGAGAGAATTGTCTTCTTATAGCTAACAAGAGTTGATAGAAGTATCTCAACCAATTTCTGGTATTCTTGTAGTATAGCTTTACTTGCCTGAGATATGATCTACTCTTGCTCATGTGTCAAGTTTTCTTCTTATGAGGAGAAAAATATATGCTTTAAAGAGTCCTGACATTTTATAGTTCTTTCATCCAAAGCCATACATGAAAAACCTCTACCTCAGTATTGCATTGTTTTATATCCTGACAGAATAAATAGGTAGATATGGTGATAGGTAAGGTATTGCTGTCTGGATTGTCAAATGACAAAGAAGTTACCTTATTTCAAAGTTACCTTATCTTCTCAGTGTCTTTTCAGATTAAGAAGTATTATTGGAAAAATTTCTTCACCTGTCAGAATTTGTTCTACTGTTCTTTCCCTAATCACGTTAGTTGAGATCACGTTAGCAGCTTGAGAAGGAAGTTTTATTTAAGAAAAGGGGAACAAATAATTTCATAGTGCAGGGGGTATTTTGAAAAGGATAGATTTAGGTTGTTAAGAACTTCGGAATACCAGATGACTTCAGAAAAGATGAATGGCAGAAGTCAGAGGCAAACCGGCTACTCTGTGCCTACGTGTAATCCCAAAGCTGCTGAACAGAATTTCTCATATAAGACTTAGTGGTTATATAGTCTTATGAATTATTATTGCCTGGATTAATATTTCAGGGTAAGTTGAAAACTACATATCTTAGGTTCTTTGATTCTGAATAGTACCAGGGCTCCAAATATAGTCTAGTCCTGGTTAAAATTGTAATTAATTCCTTCCATGAGAAGAGAGAAAGAACAAAAAGTAGATATGTGATCACCACAATGAGAAAATAAATCAGATTTTTACTCCAAAGTGTTCTTTTCATTATGTGCTCCTTAACCTCTCCATCTTTATTAAAAGTGTTATTTCCCTACTAGACGAGTAGATGTATTCCTGGAAAATTGTGTGGGACTTTTACCATTATATTTGGTGAATATGTAGGTTTTCTTTCAAAATTAAAATAGCTCTATTGTTTTATGAATGTAATGCATGTTTATTGAACTATTCTAAAAATAGACATAGGTAAAGTGTAGCCTGAAAATCACTTGTAATTCTACCATGGAATTTGTATTTTCATAGATATTTGTTATTTCACCCTTTTAAGAAAGAGGACATTAGTGTAGTGGAAATCTTTAGCTCTTAGTTGTTGATACCTAAAATAGAGCTACTAACTTCTGAGTCCTTAGTATAAAACTTTCCTGAATTTGAATAATAAATTTGATCAAATCACATTGAAGAATTTATTCAGTGAGTGACATTTCTCCATTTTTGTGTTTGACACAGGTCTTTTTCTAAAAGATCAGTATCAGAAAAAGAATTAGAATTCAGGAATTTTGATTTTGAAGAACATCATATTTGAAATACCTTAATAGATTAAACCGAAGTTTATCTAACCCAATATTTGGTCTCTGAAGCATTTTTGGACATGGTTTCTGTTCATAATAGTGATTGTAAGAAGTATGTACTACTTATAGCCTTTTCATAAACGGTGATGGACTTAATATTTGATAATTTTTTAAAATGTCTCATAAGCTCATGTACTTTCAACTTATACTATTATGGGAGACTGAAGTTCTTTTTTGTACCAGAATTACTTTTTCATTTCTTTGAAATAATTGTAATATTTCCATGTTAATATCATGATTTAGAAGAAAGGAAGTCAGAAAATCTGGATTTTTAGTCCTGGGCTTGGGACTAAAGATTAAAGATTGAACTTCTCTGGACATTATTTTATTCTCATTTGCATAAACATTAAATATCCCTGAAGTATTTTCTTATTGTAAATGTAATAGAATTCACCATCACGCTATTGTTTGTCCTTATTGGTTTTTACATGATTTGATAGATTTGGACATATGTTTTAATTCCTTTTTCACAGACAATGAATTACCAATTATTTAATTCTTCCTTCCTCTAATTTAAAAAGTATTATCTCAATTTATTTAGTCATGTAAATTGTATCTCTCTAATCTTTGTCTGTTGATTTCACTGTTAAAGTAGGGTTGCTGAGAATAGCACCAGGTACTGTAGCTGTGGGCGGATATACTGTAATCATCTACAAATGTAAGATCATATTTTCTATTTTATTTCAGCTACTTTTTAAAAATGCCAATATTTCTAGGACTTTTTAGCTGTCATATTTCAAAATGCTTTTTAAGCCAACCTTTGCCTCTGGACTAGACTATTCCTAGGCCATTTACTATTCAGTATCTTCTGGGACAGAAATTTCACAACCTGCCTCTCACCTTGAGAAAGTTCTTATAAGTAACATAAATCTTGTTTTCTGCAATTTAAGTTGAATTTATATACTTTTTCTTTTTTCTGTAAAGATAGGAATATCTCCAAACTGCAAGTGATGCTTTCTTATGAGGGCTAGTATTGAACATTGTAGAAAAATTATTTTCAGAGTAGCATTATTTTTAGCTTATATATCAAAGCTCCCTGACTTTCATTTCAATATTCATGTCTCAGTAAGTACCATGGTTTAAAGCCCAAATAAAATAATATGGTAGTTACATATCTAATACAATGGACCCTTGACCTACGAACTCAGTTGTTTGTGAGGGCTGATTGTAACTCACGTTGGTCAGTTGAAGGCTCAGGCTCCTCTACACAGCCTTCAAAGTCTCTCGCTTTTATATAGGGTGATCTCGGTGTCCTTAGAGAGCTGTAGGCCCAGTATTTCTCAACCCCACACAGGAAAGGATGTTGTAAATATTCCTTCTAGAACTCTTCAAGGGTTTCATCTGTGTCTGAAACCATCTGGAAGCACAAGCAGCCAGCATTTGGGTCGTAACTCGACTATTCGTAAGTTAAAACTAAACTTGCGATCATAACCCAGGTTGTTCATATGTCAGGCCAGTTGTGACTCAAGGGTCCACGGTATTAATATTTGTTACATCTGTTACTTTTAGCACAAAATGAGGTACTAAAATGAAAAATTAGTTCTTGAGAGGAGTAAGCAAATAAGAGGTCCTCTTCCCCCACACACATTGAGATACATCTCATTTGGTCTTTGATCTTGCTTGTAAGGAATTTGTTGGCTGAATGTCTAGAGGAGGAGGTGGAATGGTCTTCAGATTATACCAGGCTAGCATTGCTAACTCACTGTTGTAGGTTCTGGAAATAAAAAAGGATCTTGAACCACCCTCTAAAATTAAGAAAAATAAAGAATAATCGTAAATGAGTGCTTAAAACCTGTTTGAGAAACTTAAAAAGTTTATGCTTTATATGATATATTTATGGGACTGAGTTTTTGCCTTTATTTTGTATATTTTATGTCATTATTTTACTTGTTTTGTTTTGCGGTGCTGGAAATTGAACTCAGGGACTTGAGTATGCAAGTGTTGTACTTAGCTACATCCTCATCCCATCCCATTATTTTGTCATATTGTGTAACTAATTTATCCATCATAAGTTGTGACAATAGAAACCTGTTCTTTTAAACAAACTTAACAGATTTCAATATGTATAGTGAAAATGTTTTGGTACTTAAACCAAGAACTCTGCTAGGCATGGAAGGAAAAGGAAAGCATATTCCCTTCCCACAAAGAGCTGATGGTCTTGTTGGGAGAGGTCTTAAAATTGTAATTATATAGGTAGGGTATATACACTAGGATGTTTAATGTGAATTTTATTTTGCATTTTAAAGATTAATGCAGAAACTGTCTTATTTTATGCAAATCTGTTGTTAACTAAGATACTCTAAAATGTCTAATTGTTTCTGATTTCTTTTTTTTTATTTTGAAGGTTCAACAGTGTTCTGAAAAATCCTCTGTCTTACAGCTTCTACAAGCTCATGAAAATGCCTTAGAAAGACAATGCAGTGAAATTACAAACCAAAGGAATATGCTTCTCCAGACCTTTGTAAGTCTAACCACTTAGAAAAATCCATTTCAATAAACATGTCAAAAATCTTTCAATATACTTAGTGTAATTTTAGAAAATTATCCAGGTCCGTATTGGCAGATAGTACTATACAGATAAGGAAAAGTATTAAGCACTATTTAAAACTAATTGGTAGAGAAATATAGTTTGAAAGAATTCTATTAATAGGGATGTAATATAGAAATTATATGCAATTGTAATAATGCCTATAAAAAGGGTACAACTGATTTTAATTGCTTAGGCATTGAGACTGGTTTTAATGCTTTAAAAGGTTCATACTTTAGGAATATTTATGGATGTGAATGAAAATGTGGATATTGCTTCATCTTTTTATCTTAAATCAGAACCAACAAACTGAGCGACAGTGTCAGATTAGAAATAAGACTTGTGATTAGATGACATTTTAAAGAAAAGACATGTAAAAGTATTAAAAATACAGTTCAGAAGTCAGAACCAAAAGATGTGGTGGTTTTGAATGACATGGGAAGTTTCTTTTTCTTTTTAATTCTTTTATTGGTACATTTTAGTTATACAACACAATTACATTTCTCATTGGGAACTTGTACCTTTACATGATGCATCTTGGTTCTTATTTTCTCCCCATTCCTAGCCCTCCCT